ACAGCCACCAACAACAGCATAATGGATGAGAACTTCTGGCAATGTTTCAAAGGTGTTCATAAAAGAGATGCTCTTACTGCCGTTCATACCCTCGTGATCATTCTATGCTTGGTGCTAAATTTGACTATGTTGGTGCTCCTCTGCCTACTAAAAGGTAGACCACGGTCATTTCTAGTCCAAATACGTACCTTAACGGCCTCTGTGGTCCTTTACGGTTTCTTCAAGACCTGCCATCGCACCATGCCCCCTCGTTTCCTTCAGGCCGATGACATCCTGGCTCCGATTGTGTGTTGTATGTGGACGAGCCGATACCTATCCTTCGTGTGTTACACCTTTGCCGCCCTTATCCTGAATTTTACCGTGGGAAACAGAGCCATTCAGATTGTTTGGAAGTACCAGTACTCCTTCTCCACTTCTCTCCTTGCCGACCTTGCTTACATGGGTGGGCTTTGCCTGATCAGCATACTCTCTATGGTTCCCCAGACATATTTAGTGCACTGGGATGGAAAAAAATGTACTTGCCTCGATACAGGTCTGCCTTACGGAATTCTGGTGTCCCTTTACACGGAGACCTTCGTGCGTTTTGGTCTGACTGCGGTCATCAGTGTCGTCATCTTGAGTGCCTCCTGCTATAAAATTATCAACTGGTTGCTCAACACACCAGCTGAGCAGCTTTCGGACACGTGGAACATTCTAGCTCTTCCCGGTACTACTAAGGAGCAGATGGCGGAATTCAGTAGATCCCAGGGTTGGATAACTGCGACCCTCTGTACTGTCCCACTTTCGGTGACTTTTCTAACAGTCAGTATTGTAGAAACAGGCTACAAATTCTTGTGTGCTCTGGGCTTCTGCACTGTATTATTCAGCTCGGAAATTTCGAGAGTAACGTCACTTTTGCTGGATATTCAGATGCTCGTCCTGCCGGTTGTACTCGCCGTCTATATTCCGGCACTGCGAGAACTACCCGTGCGTGCCTGTAAAGCAGTCTCCTCGTTATGTCAGAGGCTATGCAAGCACGCGTGGAAGAACACGGCGAGGTGAGAACAAGGGCAGCAGGAGGACATTCAAATTCTGTAGCTGACAGACTTGTAGAAAGACACTGACTTTGTTGGTGAGAAAGAGACTTTGTATTTGATTGCGATACTTTTCTGTACGTATAGATGATTAACCTATAAAACATATATTTATAGGTTAATTTTAAAGGAATGAATGTATGTGTATATCCTTTAGTGTAGTTGCTGAATAGGCATGCTGTTGTAGTGACCTTGTACTCAAACAGATGCATGTCCCGCATGTCTGGCTTTCGTGTGCGCCAGCGCGTGCGCGCCGGACGTGTCAAGGTCGGGACTTGTCTGGCCTCACTAGCCAATCACTTCTCAAGGCGAGACTAGTGCACAAACTGCGGAGGAGTTGTTTACGCTCAGTCACTCCCGGAACCGACAATCTACTGTTCGGTTGCAGACCTCCAGACCCAGCGACCACACCGATCGGAATGCGACTCTGGACTCCGGCCCATTCATGGCTGGAGTGCACTCGTCTGGGAGTCACTTACTCATTTCTTATATTCTACTCATTCAACACTACATTAAATTATCTATAACAATCCGGCCTTTCACGCCTTATAATATCCACTAGTTTATATACGTTGGGATAAGTTCATCGGCTATTATCTGGCTGGTCCACATCGTATACCAAACCGTTATTGCAAAGAATGCGAAGAAAGAAAAGAAATAACTAAATCAAGTAAGTTTTTTTACGAATGTATCCCCGTAGGTTTGTCACAAGTTGTTGTTTCGACAAGCAGACGGCTCCCCCAAATCACAAGTCTGGGAAGACGGAATGAATTCGGCCAACTTTACTGAACACAAGTAGCTTTACAGTGGCCAATGCAAGCGCCGCGTACGATAACCAGCCGCTTAGGAGCAAAAGTGACGACGCGTCAAGTTTTGGTTGTGAAATGAATAATCATTCGGCTGCCGCCAATCAGATGAGGCGGAAGTATCGATTACCTTTAAGCGTACGCGCGTATGAAGCGACGAGGGGATCGATAACGTGGGAAGGGCCAATAACGCGCGAAGTAGGTGACTAGGCATGGGTGTAAGCCCTGGCAGGGCGAAAGCAGAATGAATCAGCGCGGCAGGCTCCCACAGTTAAAGCTAATGGGGAAAACCCCTGTTGCTGCGATCTTCAGGCCCACTTTCGTACGGGAAGCGAAAAAGTTATACTGTGGCAGTTCACGCGTCCAGCAGACTCATTTTGCTTTCGCTCTGCTTAGGCACGGTCGACTGGCTGTTTGATACGCGCTTGAAGCCAATGGATAATGATAATAATAAGGTTTATTGGTAAGACACCTCTTGGGCACCGTCAAAACCCTTGGAAAACAGGAAAAAAACCTAAAACAAACCCTTCTTTTGCACACAGATATTGGCTCTGTTTTTGTTTTATGCTTATTCAACAGTGTGCAAGATAGGGAATTTGTTCTAAGTGAAAAAAAAACTGTCTACAAAGGTACAATAAGATCAAAATTGGAAAATAAAATCCATGCAGTACATGTGTTAGAGGTTTCAGGGTAGGAATATTTGAGGTCTGGAAACAGTATATCATTTATGGATTTTTGATTGATCCTTCTGTAGAGGTATATTCAGCCGCGGTCAGTTCGAAAAATATCTTCTTCCAATTGGACTTGCAGCAATGCATCAATCCAGTGTGAAATTCGGTGTTCTCCCTGCTAAGCAGTATTGTACATTGTAAAATTTCGGCAACTATCATTGAAGGCAGTCCGGACATCTAAGAAATATTTGCGAAGCATCGTCGTCATTCAGCATCGAATACCGAAGACGCCAACCTAAAGTGGGTAAGGACAACAGACAATGCTTCCCATGCTATATAAATATATACTATACTACTAATAAAAAAAACACAAAAAACACTTTTTGCATTTATGTTTTGATTATATCCCTTAAAGATCATAGAATTATATATGCAATTTTCGCCATCAGGAAACATTAAGAAATGTGAAATTTTATTTGAATTATTTTTTTATTTTTAAGTCGATAAAAAAACTTACTTTTACAAAATAGGTTTAGTGCTTTTTACAAACCATAGGTCCGCAGGCGTATGATAATGCTATAGTTTTGTTTGTCATCTAACTAATGCTATTTCCTTATATCTTTCTAGGTCTAGGACTCGAAAAGTAAATTCGTTAAATGGAAACTTCCCATCGGAAAATTGTAGTGGAATATGGAGGACAGGAGATTCGATTTGAGATTCCATTACCCATAACTTAGGTGTGAAATTATAACTTGGTTGTTATCTAAAAATACTAGGTACTGATCCAGGCGG